TACAAAGGGTGCATCTTCGATGAAATAATATCTTTCCTAGGATAATTTCTCCCCTAGGAAAATAACAAAGCATAGGATTAGCTTTCGAGAAAGAGAGAAGGTGAATTAGAGTAAGTCGAGGAAGGACTTATTAGTGGAAACTTTCCAGCCGATTGCTCGCAGTCAAAAGAACCTCTAATTACAGGGTAATTAGCGGGCAGCGTGAAAGATCCTTCTTTACGGATACGCGATTAGATAACGATTGCCTGAGTTTACCGAGGTGCTTGGAAATGGAAATCTCTTTTAAATCTTCCTTCACGGACTTCCTTCTTTTATCGAGAGAATTAATTCTCGCCAGAGACACTTCCAATTTTCAAACTCCATATACCACGAAACTCGCGTCGAGGCAATCGTAGACTTTTTAATTTGACCATTGTCAAATTATAAAAATAATGAAATTTTGTCGAATACGATTTTTATCTAGTTTTATATATAATACTTTTTTTCTATTTTGATAATATCGATGGATACATTAAAGAAATTAGATCCATATTATTCAAAGGTTATTTAATATGCAAAAAAAAAAAAACAGGATTTGATGAAAAGATGATAAAGAGAAATTACGTACTTTATTTTGCACTTGTAGAAATTCTCGTTTCGACGAGATTCGCAATACTCGAGCAAAGATAAGCGGGGAATGCGTTCCGCAAAAAGATGAAATATCACGCGCGCTTTTTCACCTCCACTTGGAAAATTCCGGCTAATATTTCGATGCCGACGTATTCATGCGCGTATATCCTCGTAAAGAACACGCTGCGATGGATTAACATAAAATGAGCGCCATTTTTTTGTAAAAAGTACGCAGGTACAGCTTGACAAGTAACCTGACTCTTAAATACATCAGCATTCGTTCTTCACTTCTAAGAAATACACTGATAGATATTTCTCTAGATATCACACATCTCAGTGTTCTTGAGATTTTTTTTTTATGAATTCCAAGTCTTTTCTTCTTTTCATAATTATATAAAAGTTCCATCTTTTGTAATTCTCTTAAATATTCTCTAAATATTGTAAGTGGAAGATGTTCGTGAAAATTTACGTCTTCGTCGCCATTATAAAAACGTGATCTAAGTAAAGATTTAAACACTGTTTAAATTGGTTTCTTTCCATTGGTTATTATCCTTTATAGAATTCATAATCGATCATTCAACACTTACTTTCAGAACCGTGAAAGAAGAAACGGACTTCACAGTGTGAATATTGAAGCATTTCACATCTGCACGTGTTTCTGCATGATTTATTTATCTCGAAAAGAATCGGAGCAATGTATAAGTCAATAAATGTCACGTTGAATCGTATAAACCGTTCACGCGTCTCGATGGTTCCATTCTACGGAAAATAAATGACGATAGAACAAACGTTAATGTTGGAAGTTGCGCAATTAAAACAGGACGGTGTTTGATGTTGGATAGTAATAAATTCTGGAACGGGATCGAGCAAGTATATACGATACCATGTTTATCGTTCTTCAGACGCGTGAATATTTATAGTTTATTGTCAACTTGGATTAATATTTTGTTTATTGAAACGAGAACGGTAAATCTCGCGGTTTATTTGTTTTCAAAACAGTCAAATCGTCAATATGTGCACAGTCTTTGCGAGACTATATCTACACTATAATCGAATATCGACGAAGACTGAAAGACTGAAAACAAGAGAAAGTAGTATAAGACACGTGTCAGACACGTATAAAACGAATTTTATTTAACAGATCGATGAATCTTTTTCAATCAATTCTACTATTCTTTTCTAAATTTTATATGAAAATTTGAATCCGATTATATCCTATTAAAATACAAATCCTCAGAAAATGAGATGGATCACACGATATTGCAACTATTTTAACGAAAATTATTATAACGTTGCGAACGTTAATAATTTTTGATCGATAAATCATCATGGAACTTAAACTCTGGAATTTTTCTGTGTTTTTTAAACCAAGGATAAAATACGCGAACAAATAAAGGCGGAAATATATGAGAGGAATAATTCAAACCAAGATACCTCGTGCGGTGAATTCAACACCAAGCGAAAGGAAGTTACGAAACGGGGCGAAATGGATTGGTTGAAAGCATTATTAAGATTACTGGTCGATCATTTTTCTTCTCTTTTTTTCTCTTTTTTTTCCCCTCCTTTTCTTTCATTCTTCCAATGCTCTTCCGTTTGATTTCTACCCCCTCGTCTCTGTTCACGTTACCTGTCTTGTGTACTATCACCGTGTCACTTGGTTTTGTTGCGTCATTGTTCCTCGAAAAAGGTACGCGCATCCATTTTCATATTGCTAGAATGGACGCAGTGGTTGGAGAGAGGCGATCCTCCAATGAATGCTCAATGAAACTCGTATGGTTCCATCGTTGTATCGGTTTCACGGCGAGTTCTAAATTCAGAGAAAAGTCAGTTATAAATAAATGACGTACGATTCGAATGAACAAATTACGTAATAAGAAACACGACGTGATGGTTCGATAAAATTGAAGAGATTGAAATTTGTTCTCGCGGAATCGCAACGCTATTGCGACCGTTTATGAATTTCATACATCACGAATCACAGAGTAACAGATTTTTCACGCCGGATTTGCTTTTCTTCACGGCTGCAATATTTGTTTACTCTCTGTGCTTTATTGCTCGCATTTTTCGTACCAGAGCTTCGTGCCAGATCAGATTCTCGACATACATAAATCCCATATTCATTTTCATATCATAACATTTTTACGAGAGCGTGGACTCATAATTTTGTTCTGATCGTTTTAGATCTCCTCCCTCGCTCTTTTGTCGCGTGGACAATGATAAAACATAAGCTGATGGTAAAGATTGTACGACTTATATTAACGAAAATTAGCATTCATTTTCGTTTAAATTTATCCCTCGTGTAAATTATATCACGTTATATGTAATATTTTATTTCTTATTCAAGAAATTTTAAAGAATTGGACGAGATTGAACTTGAATTCCTTTGAAACTGTAATTAACGTTTAATTAAATTGATTGACCACTTGCTACAAATCTTTGACTTTTTTAAAAAATCTTAGATTAATTAAATTAAATTTCTTTTTTTTCACATTAAATATACTTGTTATTTCTGAATTCTCGATTCACCTTTAGATTTCATTCTTTTCCAACAACGTTTTTCATTATCGGTCAGAGAATGCTCATTATTCAGATCTCATTCCACCCACACAAGCGACGTCATTTGCGCAGCGACGCTGTTAGAACCTTTCTTTCAAAGGTTTTTGTCCACGATTGTTTAAAGATTCATCGAGCTTTACACGACCAAGATGTCCATTAATGAAAAGACAGGTGACGAGATGGGGAAATGGCCGCACGAGGTTCGGTTTACTTTATCAACTTTTGAAAAGAAACGCGTTAAAGATGGTGTACCGAAGCTTTATGAATGTTTGACCCTCTTCGGCTGTAAATAATTCACAAGACGGTGCAGGAATGCTTCTTGATCGTTCGCGGAAAAACGAGCCCTAGTGGAATTTCTTCTTTGAAATACGCTCGGAAATTAAACATTCTTGGAAACGTAAAGTGCGCGTTACGATCTCTGCTTTTTAATCGAAATGAACTATCTCCATCCGTCTATGAATAAATTCAACATACTCAACTGATATTAATGTCTCTCGACAGAGATTCTCAAGATCACGATAAGACGACGGATGATATACGAATAATTTGTGCGATCCATCGCACGAAAATTCTTTCAAATTTCCAAAAGATTACTTTTTTAATATCTTGTGCTCGAATTCTGGTTGAACGAGTAGTCAAAATAAAAATTGATTTCTCAGACACTCTCTTCTGACTTCTTCGTGATTACGAAAAGATGAAGAATCACCGAGTTGATACATCTCGCATTCTATGACACTGGAAATTCTATGACACGAGTCACAAGATCGAAGAGTTATCCGTTTCCGGACCGCAATTTCACGATTCGAAAACGACAAATCTTATGGATATGTATGAGAGCATTCAATGTGACAAGTGGTTTTCATACGGTGGTTGTTGAATGTTGTAATCCAAACGAACTACGTTAAAACGGGTTGGCGGTATCCTCCTGCAATGACTTTCTTAAATGAATTGGACATGACTCTCAATTGCTCTTTTTTTCCTCCGCTCCGCTAGACGAGCAGCGACCCGCTCGCTTCAACTTCACTTCAACTTCCTTTCTCCATCGTTGCTCGTTTCCCTCCTCTCCTCTTTTTTATCGTCGCGCGTAAACTTCTCCATTTTGTACCGTCAATAATCGCCACGGATCGATGACGCTTGTTCGCGGTCGTTGCACCCCTTTGCGCTTATTCGACGAATCAAAACACTTGGCTCGACCAGCGTATTACCATCGTTGAAACCGNCGTTCCACCAGCGTCGAGCGATACGATAAATCGGTATTTTCGAGAGCAGAGAT